GTGCAGCGCGTCCTAAGTGAGCGACCTACCGAGAGGACTGGGGCACTGTGGTTTGGTTTCAAATTGTGAGTCGATGTGAAGTTTTTGGTGCCCTCAATCGTGGCTCTTCCCTTTCTTGGATGATCCTTCCAATGGAATCGTGATGGAAGGAACGGAAGGTCTAACACTGTACCGGTAGGGATTCTCCCATTAGTTAAGAGTTAAGGGCTTTCGAAAAGGGTGACTTTTCGAATAGGAAAGACTTTTGGCACCTTTTCTCGTTTTTTAATTTAAAAGTTAAAAGACTATGTGTGAAGTGAAACTCGTAAAAAGCTGATTGGGTGGTGGTTTGCGTCGACCTACGTGTGGCGTTGGTGAGTCGCCTGTGGCTTTCACACATCTCGAACATGTCACGCCCCATGTATCTTATCAAGAAGCTGTGGATCTGTACGATCTGTACGCAGAGATGTTTAGTCACACGAAGAGTTGGCTTGACTTTCGGAGTGATCTGATGGATATCAGCTGGTTAGCCAAGGCGAAAGCGGACCTGGATGGCGATTCTGCCATGGCGGATGCGGGTGCGGTTGACGAGAGCGACGAATTCCACGTTGGCATTATCATGGGTGCCTTTTGGTTCTTGGTGGCTAGATGCCATAGATCGAACTACTCCGAAGACTTCGTGCGATCTGATTTACGGTCAACATTGTTTTTCGATCAACTTGCTCGCTGCTACCTGGAGACGACAATGTTGCCGGGGGACGATGGCAGAGAAATCATTCTTCAGAAGTTGCTCGTGGCCGACAGCGAGAATCCCGAGCAAGTGCCTCCCGCACATCCGGCGTTCCCATTCGTTCGGAGAGGCATCTTTAATTTATACGGGGGCTTTGCCTGTCTCGCGGCGCACTGGTACTACAACAGTTTCAACTTTCCTAATCGACCACTGACACATCCAGATTCACTGGACGAGCTGGTGATGTCTGCAGTCAGGACATTCTCGACGCAAAGGCTTTTGGCTTCCAGAAACAAGGACGATTTTCCAAAAGAGGCGGCATTCCAGCAACTATTCAACGAAGCTGCCAACAGATTCCTCCCTGCTTTTAACAGCCTGACCCCGGAGCTTAGCACGACGGCTACAAGGAATGGCAAGGTGGTGACTGGGGAGTTGGATTTCTACGTGAACTCCTCCCTTCAGTGGGCGGTTGAGCTGCTCAGAAAAGGGGATGGTATTGGAGAGCATCTAGCACGTTCTGACAGAAACACTGGAAAGTACAGAGATGTAGAGATGAAACAGCATCTTGTTGTAGACTTTCGTGGCCCTCTAACCGGCTCGGTACGATATGAGCCCAACCGCTGCACTTTTTATTTTTCAGCCGACTTCCGCTCCTTCCAATGCAAGATGCGACACAACCCGTTAACTCCTTCCTTTGACTTGCCACCATAAAGTGCATTTGGTTGGTAACTGTTGATTATTTGACCATGTTGACCCAAATCTTTCACAAGATGGTTGCTGACACCATGGGGTGCTTCCATGGTTGCTTGATTGTTGATGTTTGTTCTGCTTCTGTTTGATTTTCTGTTCATGTTTGTCCGCAGAAGAAGCCATCAAATCATCACGGGCATCCACACAGTGGGATGTCGTCCCAAGAGATGCCATCCTTTTCGAGTTGTTCAATGTGCTTTCTAGCTAGAGTTGGCTCGAGTTGTTGCCTTTGGCCGCCTGGGTGCCACTCGTTGCGTTGGCGTTGCACCGCAGACCAGACGAAGGGTTAGAGTCACCTTTTGCTTTTCAGGAAACATCTCGATTGGAGTACAGTGACAGCGATAGTGTGTGTTTCGGTCCATCCTTGGGGATGGGATGTACGGCTGTATTAATAGCTCTGCCGGCTGATATCACCATGAGCGGAACCCTTCGTCTTTTTTTTTCACTCCCCTTGTTACATTATTGTCCAACTCTAACTCGTCTTCATCATGTGCCCCACAAACACTGCCGCTGTCTCTAGTAGCCACCTTGGAAATGGCAAGCGATCGTCTGAAGATGGCGCCGATGGAAGTAGCAAACGTCCCAAGCAGTTAGTCTCCTTGGGCAACAAGATTGACCGAACCAATGACGACATTCACTCGTCGATCGACCTCTGTCCAGTGGTCAAGATGATTCTGGATTCGCCTCCCATGCAGCGTCTGCGCAAGGTGAAGCAGCTGGCCACAGCCGAGCACGTCTATATGAATTGTACGCACACTCGCTTTGCTCATTCACTCGGCGTGGCTCATTTGGCCGAGAAGCTCTGTCAACGCATCGCCAAGCGTCAACCGGTGCTGAAGGCTACACCAAAGGATATTCTCTGTGTCAAGTTGGCAGGACTCATGCATGACATTGGACATGGTCCATTCTCGCACACCTACGAAGATTTCATCAAGATATTCTTGCCAGAACATTTGCAAAACAATCCAAACCTACAGGAAAAATACGAAAATCTGCCGCCTTTGGATGGAAAATACAAACATGAAAAGGTGTCCTTGATGCTCATTGATGCTGTACTCGAGTCCAAAGGACTACGCATCAATTTACAAGAACAAAAATTGGATGATCCACTGGAGACTGTCATTACAGCAGCAACGGTGACTGCAGTGGATCCTCTTTCTGTGAGAGTCTTTGACTCCTCCAGCAATCCCAACGAAAAAGATGACAATATCATTTTGACATCTCGTGACTTTGTTTTCATCAAAGAATGCATCTGGGGAGGTCCCATTGACCATATCAATGCAGAGCTCAACATGGAACAAGACCAGTTTGTGGGACGGACTGAACCGCATCAGGAATGGATCTATGACATTGTCAGCAATCGTCACTCTGGTTGTGATGTTGACAAGATGGATTACTACGCTCGGGATCATCGTCCTGCATTCAAAGGCAGTGGTGAAATTGAAAAGCTCATGATAGAGGAGGCGGTCGTGGCATGGGGTGCATGTACTGACCCGGAGGCTTGTTGTGACGGGAAGCACTTGATGATTTGCTACCCGACCAAGGTGGTACCCACAGCCATGGAGTTCTTCCGCCAGCGCTTCCGATTGCACAAGAATATTTATCGACACAAGAAGACCGATGCCGTTGGGTATATGGTTTGCGACATTCTCAAAAAAGCCGATCCTTTCTTCCGATTGACCATTCCGAACAACGACGCTTCGCCCTCTACAGGTGAAGACAACTACAACGAACTCCCCATCAGTCGGGCTTCGCACAATGTCCATTCCTTTTTGCGTCTCACCGACTCAATCATTGATATGATTGCCAATACTCGCGCGGAGGGACTGGAAGATGCCCGAAAACTCATTCGTAGATTGGAGGCTGGGGACCATTACAAGTGCGTGGCTGTCCAACCGATTGATCTGCGCCCAACCTCGGTGCATCGAACCATCTTGGGCTTGCCGTCAACGCGGAACAGCAAGAACGAAACCCGTCTTGTTGTCGAGCGCACGAAAGCAATCGAACATGAGTTGGTCGAAGGTGGAAAATGTCATCACAAAGGAGAAGATGAGTACATCAAGCTCGAGGAGGGAGACTTGTTTGTTGAGTATTGCAACATTCATTGCGGTCGTGGACCTAATAATCCGCTTCAACGAATGAGGTTCCTCCAGAAGCATCAGATGAAATGCCTTGACTCGGCCACCAACATTTTTGAGCTACCGGAAGCAAAGGAAGAAAATGAAGCTACCTATGAAGCGCAGATGCCGCGTGCTTTTGAAGAAAACTCCATTCGTGTTTTTTGCAAGGATCCCTCCAAGTGTGATTTGGCCAAGCACGTCTTTGATCAGTGGTGGCTCGACCAAAGTGACAGGGTTCGTCAGACCACTCCTTTCCGACCACCAAAGGCGAACTTCGAAGGCATCACCCCTTCGCCCAGCATGGCAAAACGTGATCTCAAGCTCAAGGCAATGAAGCTTTGAATAGCACCGTACGGTACAGCGGACGGTAAGACCGACACCCAAACACATTTGTCGGAACTCGTTGGTACCTTCTCTGGACTGCACTGCTTGCTTAGATTGGAACGTACACCATAAATATAGTCAGTGTGCAGCGTAAACTTTAGATTTACGAGTTTTCAGAATGACTTGTATGCATGTATCTGCTATCTACGGTATGGTCGTTTGCTTAGGATACAACATGAATCGTTATTACATGTAAGCTGTCTATCAATGAGATGAATCAAATCTACGGGTTTGGCTGGTCTGTTGCCCTGTTGTTGTGTTGTTGGCAAAGTTTTGCTTAGGCGGCTGAAGGAGCACGGCTGCTCCTTTTCAGAGCTGGAGGAGCCAAGAAGACGCCATCAACCACAGAATGTGATAGTTGAATTTCCTTTACCTCTTCTTTCTGTATTGCCGTGGCAAGGGATCCCGTTCGAGGAAACTGCATCATGTGTCGAAGAGTGCATTCATCCTCTGAATCAGAAGAGATCAAGCCTCCGGTTGATTGCTTCGAAGGCCGGATTTTCATCATGGCAATTTTCCATTGTTGCATGTTGATTTCAGAAGCGGATAAAGCTACTGGGGAGAAATTGAAAGTGCCGGTACTGGTATTAATAGTGCACATTTTGGTTGGGGAAGGTCTTTGTTTTGTTTTTGTTTGATTTTGTGAGAGAAAGGGACACCCTCGACAACTTGAAGTTCGGTGACAACGGCGAAGAATGAAAACTTCACAAAATTCTTTTCTGTTATGTAAAAAAGGCATTTGAAGTGCTCCTCTAAATGCATTGGCGTTCACCGAAAGAGCAATTTGTTTGTTTAACACCTCTCAAATTTAGTCTTTGAATTGTCTTGAGCTTAAATCTCACTGTCAAGCTGAAATGTCACTTAGAGAGTGCAATTTCAGTCACCCTATGTAATTTCAGCACGTATCACGCTTATTAACACGGGGCTTAGTGCGATTTCAGTGTCACTATGTAATTTCAGCACGTCGACTTAAATTGCACTCTCTGACAATAATCACACTGCTTTAAAAGAAGAGCCTTGGATTTAACAGCCGAATCCCTGCAATTTGTTGTTTCGGTAGGCGCCATTATTTGCCTTGCACATGACTGGATCACCTGTGCAGTTTGCAGGACAATGCTCATGGCTCATGCAGCTCTCTCATGCTGGGATGCTGGGCACTTCCAAGATCTTCTCACATCTCTACCACTTGGAGTAGCTAGCTAGAGTAAGCTTCCACAAACCTGGAGCTGTTATCGGTGTCAACATTGGGTACCTGGTAGTTGGAAGAGATTCTTCGGTTCGGCTCGGCTCCCTCTTCTGGGATCCAAAAGGATCAACAAACATGGCTGGCTGCTACACTTGGATAATCAAAGCAGTAAGAGCTGCAGTAAGCAGCAAGTTTGGCTTGAGCCCATCTCTTCCTTCGCCATCGGCGCCACTCAATGGTTGCAAGCCCCCGGAAGTTCCGAATGCAGCCAGGCAGCTGGTTGAGCATGAGTGCAAAACCTCCCAAGCAAACAAAGTTCCTTACCATCCATCGGTGATGACCAGCGCCGGCAATTTTATGTCTGTAGGACAGACTGCGTAACTCTTGCTTCAGGGACTAGCTAGTCCGAGGCATCTAAATGGTTCTTCGAGAGTGGTGGCTGCTGAATATGCTTCTGGAAATCGCCCCCCTTTACGACCAGAAGCGAAACAACACTGAGTCCTTGAGATGGCCCACCGCACCGGTAAGAGAGACGATGGTTGTGCATGCAGATTGTGTTCAGGCTCTTCAAGCCCAAGGCATGGTGTCAAAGCCAGCTCGGAAATGAAAATTTGACTTGCCAACTAGCTGAGCTTGGAGTTTCTACTTGGCAGTAAATTTCGTCTCCTGGAGACGATTTGCTTTAGGGGTAATGGTACCGATGGGGGCAGAGGTTTGAATTATACCCGGCGCGCATTACTTAGAAGGCCCTGTAGAAGTCTACGTATTCGACTAGTATTGTAATTGACGGGATACAGTCAACGCATGTACATGCACATGAAACGTCGCCTTGCGTTCTTCACATTTTAAAGTTGGCGTCCTAATTTTCGGGGTGCGCCTGTGATTTGATATGGAGCGCTTGAATCTTTTGTTCAATGAGCTGACATTGAATACGTATGAGGCGTGTGCAATGCGAATCTAGAAGGTAGTTGTAGTAATAAAGTTTTTATATACAGATTAATTTACCCTATATCCCTACCGTTATACTTATAACAAGAACCGTCTTCTCGCTGAACTTTTCATCGTATTGATCTTCTCTTAGGACAGAAAGCCCAAATGGTATCCTTAATTCTTGCAAGCATGTCTCTCATTTCGTTGTGGACATGGCAATGTTCTTTGGAACCCAATCCAGCCTTCTTCAATAAGAACAAACCACTCATGGATCGCACCCTTGTAACACCGGACGTAAGCCCATGGTTTGACAGTTATCGCGATTAATGTACCACATAACCACACTGCAGTATATCCTGTAATTTGTGTCCAGTTGTCGCAGAATTGCTGAGTAATCCTGGAACGTGCTGTACGGCCTTCAGATCTTGGTGTTACAACTTCTCAGTCATAAAACCATTTGGTACTGAAAGTGTAGTCTTGCTCCGTTACATAGAAAGTACGGGCATAATAGTCGCTCCATTTTCATGTTCCACAAGGACGATTTGACTGACTCGTGAGCCAAAAAGAGCCCGGATGCTTGCAGGCCGTTGTCGAGTGGAAATAACCAGAGGGGGTGCGAGACCATGCCTCACGATTCACTGGCTTCTCACAATAAGAGTCCGGAGATCGCATTGGCTTCTCCTTTCGGAACATTCGTGTTCTCTTGTAAACATTACAGGACACGCCTTATTATAACTTCAAAGCGGATCAACACGTTTTCGTGAAGTCCGAACCGGGTTTTAACGAGTCTTCTCCCATGTTGAAAAGAAGTGCTTTAAATACCGAATTGCTCTTAACAATGAACCATTGTCCCTGCTTATTGGCATTTAAGATCGTCCATGAAAATTATACTGCATCCATCAGCACGAAATCATCAGCAGATTTGTTCTTCCCGCAAAATTTTCGAGATAGCTGAGTTGATGGCATCTAGATCTCGATTCAGATAAGTAGCAACGTTGAATGTTGCTCTGATGGAACATGGGTTGGGCCAACCATGCAGGAGTCATTGAGTGGTCTCAATATCTTCTTATGTTGGTCGCCCTTCACGAAATCTTTAAACAGCGTTGCCGCCATTCAGGATCGTCTTTGAACGGGTGCATTCCGATCTAAGCTCAATAAATGAATTCAAGAGAGTTCCATGAAAATTTCCGAGGAAAGGTGTGGCTGATAGATTGTAAATCGGGGGGGTCCCACTGGTCTAAAGTTGAGAGTAGTCCCCCGCGAACACCAATTAAGTCCCCCAAAAGGTGGTATTCCGTCTTGGCATCAAGGTCTTTGGTGTAATGGAATATCTGCACGTAAGTCGAAGTTCCCCCCCGAATGAAATTTGTCGATGATAAGCATCCGTCCGTTCACTCCATTCTTCTCCATAGTTCTTCGCCACACTTTTCCGATTCTGTTCAATCCACAGCTGAATGCGTTGTTACCCCATGTAGTATTGTAGCAGCACCCCCGACATAGCAGTGACAACAAGGTTCGTCGTTAAATGGATGATCAATCAAACCTGCAGAATCTTTGCCATAGGCCATGACTAAGTAAATTACGGTAGTCTTCACCACATTCCTCCAGGCCCATGTAGAAGATGAATCAGTTGGGTGCCACGACTTCCCTTCAAAATCAAAGGGTTTTTACGAGAAAGTCGGACTTTTGCCTTCAACCCCATATCCGGGGACTCCATCACTCTAAGTCCACCTTTTCATCTTCCTCATAAAATGTCAAAAAGAATGCTGCAGATAGCACTCGAAAAGCCCTTCTCTGCTGTCGTCCAGATTGGCAGCCGTTGCGCAGTCACTTATACTTTCTCACGCTTCCATTCCCGCTGCGACACTTCAACCTGCTGGATTGTACTTAAATACATTTGCCCTAGCCCTTTGGATGCACTCCCGTTTGTTAAGTTGAACTTCAATGATCTTGTGATATCGAGTGTAGGCGGTTCCACTCTGCTTCTCTTTGTAGTGCCAGTCGTGTGAAAGTCAGCACTTATGGTAACAAATTCTCTTCATCTAACGAATTCTCAGGAATGGGTAACTGCACGTTATATCCTGCGTTGCGCTTCCATTGTGACGTATAGCCGTAAAATAAGACCATCAAATGTGCTTGCCAGAAAGTCCCGGTTTGAATCTGTTGTGCCTGGCTCTCAAGATCACTATCCAATCTTCGTAAACCTTTGAATCAGATCATCTTCCTCATGTTCGCTCATCATCAGATTCGTTTTCGTACATGTTCTCCTCCCAATTTTCGGTCTATAGGCTTAGTGACTCGTTGAAGATCATCCTCTTTCACCCTATACCTCGGGTTGTTGAAGCGGTGTCTTGAATGTTCTGGATGAATGACAGGTTCCTTTCTGAGAAGACGACGGGTTCTTCGTTATTCGCTTTTCTTCAGAACATCGTATTCATACACTTCACGAAGTCTTTCAGCGAAAGCAAAGTTGGTCTGGGGTACGGACTTCTTTTAATCAGCCAAACATCGATGCGGCAAGTACAAAGCCAACAGCACTCCGCATAAGTATCCATTGCCTGGTTCAGTTCGCCAGTAGGAAACGTCAGGATATTCGCACAAAAACCGCCTGCATCTGAGAAGGCCCATTGTGGAACCCGAACCAATGCTTCTTCTTTCCTCAAAATTACTCCCGCTGAAGTTTCACCAGTTTACACCCCGTCGTTTCCTTTGATCGCTGATGGATGCACGAAATGATCTCTTCTTTT